TTATCGTCTGATATTTAATTTGACGACTTTTATATTCTTCGCAATTATTTATTTCGGACAAACGGGTACATCACCACAACACACACACACACACACACACTATATATATATATGGGGGAATTAACATTACTCCTCCGAACGGCGGGCTCCCGGGCTAGCGAAGGATTCCGCAGGTCTTGCATCGCCATTTTGACCATCGCGTCTTCTTATGAAATTAGCCGAGATATTAATTAAAAATATTTCCGCTATGTTTCCCTATTTCCACTTTCTTTCTTGGGGTTTTCCCTATTACAGGATTGGCTACGTGCCAATCTTTTCCGATATCTACGACGGCGCCGAGTTGAATTCAGATGCTATCCTCGAGTCCAAAAAATTCCCGAATCCATCGATACCCGTTCTCCTTCGTCGACTTTATCGGCCGGATATTAATCAAAACGGGAAACATTTTTTCCGCGCTCATTTTCCGGGGCAACAATAACGCGCGACACACACTTTAGCCGCTTATATATAAAGATATCACCAAGCGTGCTCTTTGGGTGTAACGTGTTGTATCTCAGTCTAGCATCGGAAGATTCACGGTTCGAATCTTGGCAAGGTCATAACATTTTTTCTCTCTGTTCTAGCTCCAAAAATTTTCTAAAATTTTCTACATCTGTACATTTTTGTTAACTATCATTACATAGTATTAATCCAATTCATAAGCTGTGCTTAAGTTATTGGTAACGGAGGTACAGTGAGTGTAGAAATTATTCGTACAAGAGTGTTTCCGCGAAAGAAACTCCTTCAAAAGGCAATAACTAATAAATTAAAAAAAATCTGAAAGTTTTCAGACTTTAAATGACGACCACAGGGGCGTTTGTTTAGCGTTTTGTGTGTTACCTTTATTTATTAAATATCATGTTCTTCGCACTTAAACCATAAAATTCCATTCAACAGCAATATCATATAATTTAGAAGGAGCATATCTTTAGAATTTCCGATTTCCCTCTCCCCCGTAGAGTGTTGCCTCGCTTTTAAATCCTTGAGTGTGTTAATCAAAAATTCGTAAAAGTTTTACAAAATATGAAATCGATGATAAAACAAATTCCAAATTTCAAATTTGGTCTTCCCATATTCATAGCCCATATTCGTAGGAGGATTACATCATTCAAAATTCGATGGCTCTATTTACTGTTGATTATCACAATGCGAGAAACATACGTACATTTATGCAGATTCTTCATTATTTAATTTCTTCAAATATAAGTTTTCAACGCAAAATCATAAAACGAAAACGAAAACAATAGTCCTTCAGGGAGAAAGCCCCTTTGGATTAAAAGAAGGGTTTACCAAATACCAGTGCAAAAAGCAATGCGGAAAAGACATTGAATTAGTTTTTAAATATATGGAAAACTAAAAATTGGGGGATTTATTGGCGCGTAACAAATATTCGCTCATTCAAAACAAATGCAAAACGTTCGTAGCATTTTCTAATTGGATTAGTCAGTTTATCGTTGATAAGTGAGGTCATTTATCTTGTGGGTCATATAAAAGATAGGGTGTAATTTGAAATGTGATAATAAATGTAAAACTTTAATATGGGTCGCTAACATAAAGGTTAGGTTAGGTTAGGTTAGGTTAGTATACTCGTTACACATGGGGAAAACCACGAAAACACTAAAGAAGCAACCTAAAATAAAGAAACGTGTGTTTCAGAAAGAGAATTAATCTTAAAACTTCATAACGGAGGTAAATCGTGCAATGAAATTTCAGTTTTAGTCGGCAGACAAGGTTCAGCTGTGCAGTCGATTATTCAAAAGTTTATTAGCTCTTAGAACAGTTCAAAACAGTGCTCGTTCAGGACGAACATATCTGCTTACATGGAACGTGCCAGATGTTCGTTGAAGAAAGATCCGAAAGTAAGTGTTGTTAAGATTAGAGGAGGATTGAGAAACATGGGAAGAGTATCTGTAAGTACAATTCGAAATGTATGCAGAAAACGAGGTTTCCATGGTCATGTTGCGAGATAAAAAATTCTTTGTGAATGAGAGAAATCGGAAGTTACGATTATCCTTCGCCAAAAAATACGTCACTAAAAGCCCAGAGTTCTGGAAGGAAAAAAATTTTTTTCCGGGATAAAAGTAAATTCAATATTTTGGATCGGACGAGAGGCGTATGTCGAAATATAGAAATGCATCCAAGGAATTTACTACCAAAAGTTGAAACATGAAGGTGAAGACATGTGGTTTTGGGCTTGTATGACTGCTTTCCGGGTCTGTTAATTTAGTCATCATTAATAGCAATATGTACTATCTGCTATACATTGATATTATGAAAAATAATTTACGTTCTGGTGCGACAAAAATGGGTTTAGGTTGTTATATTTATTTTAAATGGCCAATTTAATTTAATTTTACGTTCTTTCCTAAAGCCTTCATTCTAATTGTCAATGCCAGAATATTTAAATTTGGTAGCTCGCGTGAAGTAATGAAAATTCTACCTTGGGAAGAAAAGTTTAAGTAAGTTAAGTTCGAGAGTTTTTAGCAATCGACGTATCGAAGAGAATGGTTTACGAGGCATAACAGCTGTTACTTTGCTGCCAGTAGATTTTGACCCGGTTTTAAGTAACAGGAGTTTTCTGCACCCTGTAACGTGATTTCTACTACTTGTTAATAACTTCGAATTTTTATTTTAGCTCTTGTGATTTGAGTTATCGCCCGAGTGAGGCACAGTGTGTTAGCGTCAAGTCGACGCACTGTGAATTTTTAAGAGTTTAATAAAGGGTACTTTCAACCCTTCTCCTGTGTAGTTCCTACACGTAGAGTTGTCACTTAGAAGATAGACAAGTGGGTCTTAAAGGTAGCAAATATGTTTTCATGCATGATATTCAACCCAAGTATACAGCCCTAAATGCATAGCTCTGGATATCATATAATACCCAACAGTTTATGAAATTTCCTCCTCAGTCACCCGACCTAAATATGACTTCACAATTGCTCTTAAAAAGAATAGGAGTTCATATCTAACTCAGTAACAGTAAATTGATTGAATCAATGCCAAGGAGACTCGAAGCCATTATTCACGCTATAGGATATCCTGCAAGATATTAGTTTAGATATATTTATGAAAATATTCAATATTATGAATACTTTCGCGTATAAAATGTTCGAATACTTTTTACACCACAAGATAATAGATTGTTTTTGTTTTTAAATGCCTTATTTATGCATGCATTTATTTTCATGTCAATTTCACATGGAAATATTAAACTATATTTCATTATATATATATATATATATATATATGTCATATTAAAGCACAAAGGAAAATGCGGAACACTGTAGATGCTGATTAGATCCATTGAAGAATTTGATTGCGTATATTTAAAGAACTGGCAGTCGAGGCAGTTTTAATCCATTTTTTTTTGCCAATTGATATTTGTGCTACAATCACTTGGCACTCTAGTCGTGCCTTTCCACAGAAGATTACATTTTTGATATTGTGGGATAGAAAGCAAGCCAGCGAAATTACATCTAGCACAGTAGAGCAAACTGAAGTACGTAGTTATGAAAGATGCAAGCACGCGAAGAGAAAAGTTTCGGTTTACAATTCGGTGATTGGTCGTCAAGAGGCATATGGTATTAACGGTTACGTAAGATCGCATGATTAATTTGAATGACGCAATGCAGAGAAGTTATTACAATTTTAGAATAGAGAGGAAGAATTAATGTTTTTAGTTATATTACAATTCTGATTCATATAATTTTATCTTACATATATATTTATTATTGTGGAATTTAAGTTCATAGTTTTTATCAACAAGGCATTTTTAACTCATAAGATCCTTTGTACAAATACTTTCTACACTCACTGTATATACGAAAATACAATTCTTAATTTATCCCTAAAGCTAGCAGTCACGTATAATTGCATCTGAAGACCTGATAGCCTATACTACAAAAGTTATGGATCGAACTCGACTACAAATTGGATGTCCTTTGTGTGACTAATAAAACACACTTTGATTGTAATACTTTGATATTGATCGTGTAATACTTTTAAGAACATAATGTTTTGAAAACTAGTAAATCATTTATAATAGTCGTCTATGGCTTTTCACTTTGTCAGCAGAACTGTCTATGGTAAAAAGCATTTTTTTTTTTTTTTGGTGAAATGGATAACATATTTTTGTTAGTTTTAATTCCTGATATTATACAAATGACTACACATGAATTTAAGGAAAAGAAACGAATTCATATCATTCTGATAATGGTAAAGAATCTTCAGTCACTTCGTATTGTTACAAAATAGAAATGTATTATATTGGTTTCGCTCCGTTAGATCTATTGACAAAAATTTTAAATGCCAAATATTTCAGCCTCAGGAGTTTCGGGATAATATAATGTTAACGCAACATTTCGAAGAACTGCTGTATATACTTACTATCATAAATTTCCTCCTTAGTTAATTTTTTAAATTACAATAAAAAGAAAGAAATTTTTGAGTTTGTTTCGTAATTTTGTGCTACTTACCAATAAATTAAACCATGATTTCATCAATGTAGGACAACTAATCAAATCACCTCAGTCGTCGAACTTACATCTGCAATTGCTATAAATCATGCACGCAATCTGTTGAAATTCTATTTTTAATATTTAGACTACTACGTCGACACCAAGCAGTAGTTTCAGATTAAAATTTCTTTAAAAAAAATAGGAATTATATTTGCGTGTTTGAATCATTTCCCTGAGAATAAGCTTTAGCAAAATGGTATAAAATATCCTCGACCTCAGTCGCGTGTCGCCATTTCTCATTATTCTCGCCGTACAAAATTCTGAATTGTTATTTTGTGACGAAAGTGCCTGCGGAAACAAAGGAATAACAATTTTCGTCATCCCAGCCAGGCAGAACCGACTCACTGGGGAAAGACGGAACCCGAAAAAAGCTATTTCGCGTGGAAAAGAACTAATAAAATAACAAACAAAACAGAAGAAAAAGGTCTTCATAGAATTTTAATCTCACTTCCTTCGTTCAGTGCACTCGCGTAGGGCAAGACTGTATGCTTTACCCATCTGCAAGCTCAGTGATTATGGTGTGTTGATGAACTTATGCAGTGTATGCCTGCCTCTCAGAGGTGTTGGCGATCTGTTGGCGGGAAAACGAAGGAGACCTTCTAACCTAATTTTTTATCCCAGTGTTCTGCTACTGAGGTTCAGAAGGAATATACTCTCAGGTGTTAAGGTGTTTGTTGAGGATGCAGGATCTAGACCAGAAAAGCCGACAAAATGATGAAATGGAAGGTAGTCAAGAATCCGAGATGTTCTTCTGCAGAGTGAGTGCATCTTAGTTTTCGCTTTTATGTGAACTATCGTTTTCTTTATTGGTGGATTTAACAAACTGCATTTTATATTTGGGATTTAGACTTAAAGATTCTACAACTGTAGAGAGCTAAGAAGTTTACCAAAATGTAAATAAACGTTAATATTTTGGTAAATAATTGTAACCAAAATATAAACGCTTCTTCATAATTCAGAAAATAAACATTTGAAAAATGTTTATGGTTAGTTCAGCCCGAATAAAATTTGAATAGAATGGCTTCAGCTGTTAAAGCGATCATATTTTATTATTCATAAAATTTTTTATTTATTCTACAAAAATAACAATTAGTAACTCGTAGAAAATTCGAAATAATAATTAGCACTTTTCTATAAAAATAATAATTAGTAATTATTAAAAGAGGTAACTGATATTAAAAGTGAATTGCTTACGAAGAATATGGTTATATTTTAAATTGCCTCAGGAATAACTACTGCGGAACAAATTTTATCAATAAAGCCTATCATAAAAGAAGTATTATAAAAATAAAATTTATAATTAAAAGGCTGATTACAGTGATCCGTTTAAAATTATTAATAAAATCTATTCTTTATATTTGTATCATGAAAATGAAAGTACTGTGAAAACTATGGTAACGTGAGTGAAAATTGGAGTATGATCGAACTAAGGAGGCACTGTTTTGAGATATGAATTTCTTCAAAATTTTTATGATTTTATTGTAAGTTTTTATTTTAACTGTAGGTCATTAAGAAGTTATAATGAAAGATCATTTCTGACTTTTCAGAATATTTATTTTAATTTTTATATTTGATGAAAGAAATTTAAGACTGATAATACTCACTATTTATTTCAAAATATTAAACACTTATTTAGTAGCTTATTTTAAACTAACTAGGTGTCTTAAAAGAATTATTTTGCATTTAAATTCAATTCGAGTACGTTTTGTTTTCAATTTTATTCCACATATATTTCTTTATTTATATTTTTTGTAATACTTAAAAGTTTTAATATTTAGTAAACAGGCTTTCAGAAATTAATATACAATAACACGCCGAACAAGTATTAATTTAGAAGTCAAACAGCTTTTTTGACTTCTAAATTAAGGCTTTCAGAACTTAAGAAATAAATCCAAAATAATAGCATAATGTACGTTATTTATAACAAATACAAATTTTAACCCATTTTAATAATTTGATTTTGAGTTGAATTCAAAGCAGTGACTGTAAACTTCTGTGTATTCGAGGCGAGGCTAATTTTTGTTTTGGGTCCCAGGTGCACGATGTGCTATATTTGGTAAATATTTAGAATTTCTATATTTGGTAAATATTTAGAATTGCTATATTTGGTAAATATTTAGTTTTGCAATTAAGAATTTAAGTCCTTAATTGCAAAACACCGGTTATTTCAGGATTCATATAGCATTGATTTCAAACAAGTTTTGAACATCACTTTCACAAAAATGGTTATAAGTATGAAAATCTATACAAATTTTGAAATGAGTTACTAACAATAACTTTTTAAGCCTAGCGGCGAGCTACAGAAAATTCATCAGAAGGTTCTTGCAGCCTTTAGCATTACCTAGCCACCACAGTTTTAAAGGAATGAAAAATACAAAATGGAGAAATCTGTATTTAAAGTTTAGTATCTGTATTTTAGTTTGATAGCCTTAAAATGCTGATAGATACGCACGTACTGGTAGATGTGTTTTTATTCTGTGATCCAATATATCGAGAAGAGATATGAACAGGACTTTCAAGCAAAATATGCAAAATTGGCATTTTAGAGAACTTTAACAGAATCTTTGTGTGACTTGCCTTCCTTTTCTATTATTATAAGACTATTATTAAAAATAATTATAAAACTATTATTATAACATTAGTTTAAATTATTATAAATATTTTAGTATAAAAATTGTAATAATGATGTCATTAAGTCCTTTTCTATAGCGTAAATTATACCTTCACAATATTCTGTAATTATAGTGGTACATCGTTTCTTCATTAAGTACGAAATAGTATTTGTTGGTTAACACTGACACTTACGACAAAATTAAGAATCGTTTATCTTTGAAGCGTTTAATTTTTTTTTCATTAAAAATCATGATCTTCAAGTTTCAGTGTCAAGAGATAGCCACAGATGGTTTTCAAAAATAAAAATTCTGATTTAAAAACAATTCTCATCTTCTATTGGCAAATTTTCATCCTATGAAGATGATCTCGCCTCTTGTCTGGACGTTATGCATATTTTCAGACTATTTTCTGTAGGTCTTTTCTTTTCCATAGCCAATCATGTCGCAGCATTTTCTTCTTTATTGAAATCTGCGCTTAACACTCATTGAGTTATTGAGCATTTACTAACAAGAAAGAAAAATTTATTGAGCATTTACTAAGAAGAAAGAAAAATAAAAGGTTTTAGTTTATCATACATAGAACTCGCTGTAATTTTTGTTTACAATGTACTTTTTTTTTCAAAATAACAGATCATTCTTTTCGTAGCAAACATTTCAGCTCACAAAACTGCGTTACTTTCCATTTTACAAACCATTTGGAGTGAATTTGATACTAAGAAACAATAAAAAATTTCTAGTCTAAGTAACATTTTGCCAGTTTAAAAATTGCTTCAAAACTTAAGTTCTAGCTTCAATAAATAAAATTTTATCAGAACAATGCGCATTCAGCTAATTTATTATTGTGTTATCATAGACGACATTCTGCTTGAAACACGTTCTGCAATTGTATAAATACATATAATTTTTCATTTTAGAAGAGTATATGTAATTTATTACAGGAATAAATTACTCTTTTATTACAGAGATAAGAAATTTCATAAAAAGTAGTAGGAATGCGGAATATGCTTTAATTATTTATTATTAAATCGCAGGAAGAATTTAAGGTAGGGTAAATTTAAGTTCTATAATTTTATTTTGGTATCTGTATGGTCTTAAGATTATTATAAACACAAGTCATCAGCATTTTTTCAATTTAAAAAGTCTGCTGTGAACATCACATGACTTCATGTACGGCTATTAAATTATACTCACTTTTGGCTGCGCTTCATTTAAACTTATTTCCTCAAATTTCATTAAACATATATTTCTTATTCAATCAATTCAGCTGTCACTTCGCGGCAAGGCAAAAATACATAAGAATTCAAAATATTTTCATTAAAAATTACAAAATACTCAGAAAACTAAAACATAAAAGGCAGTAAAAAACATTTAAAAAAATTAAAATCAGAGTTTCTACTCCAAAACAAGCAATCTGGACAAAGGCAGAAAGACAAAATTTTCAGTGCATAAAAATTTAAACTTAACTTTTGGTTCCACTGGGCGAAATAACACTGAAGTTAGTTACGAACTGGTTTAATTCACTGTACTAAGTTTCAAATGTAAATATATAGTCGACACGTTGGGGCTAGCGAAACTCACACTTTTAAATTGCAGATAATTCTGTAATGCAGAGTAAATAAGGCATAAAACCTTAACCAGAGTATAAGAACAACATAATTAAACCACTTTTAAAGCAAAAACGTACAATTTACCAACATATGAAAATAAGAAAACAGAGCTAACCGAGCCGGCAAGAGGGTATATAATATATGTTTTCGATGCAGCAGATTGCAGCAAAAAAGGGACGTGCACAACTAGATGTTATAGGATACATTCATTCCATATGCAAAATTTCAACGTTCTGCGGCTAATTGTTGAGTTACATACGTACATGCGAGATGTATACGTACGTACGTACAGACGTGACGAGAAAATCCATTTTGAATACATTTTTAATTCCATTTTACACTCCATTTCGGAAAAAAGAGTCCTTTATTTTCTCCGTATGTACGGACGTCACGAAGGGGAAAAAAAATTCTTTCAACTGGACTCGAGAGCGATCAAAATTGATATTTTTGTTGTGATATGACACCCGAAATTTTTCAATATTACAATATTTCCTTTACTTCGTACAAGTACAAATGCAAAATGTATGCAGATTTGCATTCACATATCTAAGCATTTCCTTTGTTTATCAGCTTTAAGGACACCTGAAAAAGTATAAACAAAACTAACTTCACTGCGATTTATTCGTAAGTATTATACAATATTTAGTGCATAGGTAAACTTGAATGAATGTATCCTTTTTTAGAAATAATAGAAAGAAGTGTAACTGTAATATTGTAATGTAATAACGCAATCTTTCAAATTAAAATTTGCAATACAGCATTGAATCTTCTCTAAAACTGCAAAATAATTTGAAAATTAATGTCAGTTCCTTAGACTTTATGCTGCAAATCTAGATGCTAAAATCAATCTAATTTTTAAACAAAGAATGCAGTTAAAATGCGCATACAATTCTTTTAAATTTTGCATTGCATGTTAATCAGCAATGACTCATATAATATATTAAAGTTCTTCTTTATTCTGTTGTAGTGCAATAGTCAGTTCATCGAGGAGTTATTTTAAAGTCTGGTATTCGAGGTTTTTCAAGTATTCCTTTCTCGTAAACTTCATTTTCTTCTCAAATATATCCCATTAAAAATCTTTGTGGAATATCACCGCGGATTTTCCGTGTATTGCTTATAATTCGAAACTTTAAACCCAAGAAATACACTTACGTATTTTATGAGATTTTTCAAAGTTCAGTTTACTCTGAAATGTTTTAACAAAGTGTGATACTTTGTGTTTGCTTTATATGAAATTGAAAGGGATATTTTTAGAGAATGTGCTCTATTTTGGAGGTTAAAAAGTCATAAAAATCGAAATACTTTCGGCTCGTAAAAGCACTTCTTTGACAATTCTGCGAAAGTAATACCTCAAGATAATCTCTTTCAGAGATCGAACCGTTTCCGTATAAAAAATAATTGCTTCATGAAACTATAAAAAGAATTTATCGCAACAACCTTCCGAGATCTTGTTTTTATAGGTCAAGAAGATCTGAGATGATATTTTCGATGATATCCTAAATGGAGTTCTTTGATATTTATTAAAGAATGTGCTGTGTA